TTTACCCACATAAGCAACTGGACTACTTGTAATCGACTGTACTCCTCTCTGCCTTTGCACAACCGGAATCTGGAACAATTCTTCAGGCTTACTCTTTCCTTGATACACTATTTCCCTTGTCTTCTTGTCCTGCACAAAGAATTCAGATTCATCACATATAAACCAGCTCTTATTGTCAGCACAGAGTTGTTTCACAGATAAAAGACTACGCGCAATATGTGGAACATGTAATACTTTGTTGAGAATAAGAGAGTGATTGTTAGTTTGTAAAGTAGTTGACCCAATATTTTGGATCGATAGATCAGTACCATTGCCAATGGTGATTTTGTCAGAACCCTCAAAAGGTGTGACATGAGTCAAGGAATTAACATCCGCTGTCATATGATGAGATGCACCTGAATCAACAATCCAGGCATCTTGAGGAACAAATGGTGTTGTTTGTTGAGCCTGCATTGCAGACAATGATGAGGGTGGAAGCTGCCCTTGATATGAATAATTGCTTCGTTGATAACAATCAAGTGCTGAATGTCCTCTCTTGCCACAGATTTGGCATTCAACAACATAGTTTGAAGGAGAAGAATTGATGTTCCTCTGATAACAGTTGGCTGCAGTATGCCCCCTTTTGTTACAAATCTGACACTCTATCACAGCATTTGTCCTTGTAGAAGTACTCCCAGACCAAGAATTATTACCATTTGGCCGTGAGTTGCTGGAACCATATCCTCGTCCCCTGAAAGTGTTATTATTCCTGTAATTATTGCCTCTGTATTGACCCCCATGTGATGCTCGAGGCCCAAATTGAGCTCCTACATTAAGCTGTGCAGCATGATTATGTGGATCACTAGGATGACCAATAAAACCATATCCATACGACTCACCAGGATACATAAGAGATTGTGATGGTGAAAGATAACCTGCTGGATAGTGTGAAGGAACAGGATAAACAGGGTATTGAAATGGTGGTAAAGGCAAAGACTGATGTCCTGCAGTTTGAGGACCCTGAGAAGTAGAACCATATGGCACCGCAGTAATTGTTCCCGCAGTACTGGCAGGAATATGATTATGAGCCTGAGAATTTGAAGATGAAGCAGAACTTGAACCAGTGCTTAAACTCGAACCTTGAACATATAACGCAGACAAATTCTGAGACAAAGCATTAATCTCTCCTTCAATCTCCCTTTCTGCCCCCAATAATTGTGCTCGAAATTCTTTTAAAGAAATAGATGACTCTCTGGCCAAAATGACTGTACGAATATAGTCCCATATTCCTTTGGCAACCCAGCAAGCCCAGCAATTATGACATCATTGTCAGATACAGATTCACCTGCAGCAGTGAGTTGATCCCTAATACCTTTCAACTTCAAGAGATACTTATCAATTGTATCAGATCCTTTTTGAATGGTATGTAACTCAGTTTTGAGATGGTTGACCCGAGACTTAGAAACAGATGCATATCTATCAACCAAATTGACCCACGCCTCATGAGCAGTCCTACAACCAAGAACATACTCCATTGCATCATCAGTTAAAGTGGCAAGAAGTAAACTAAGCAACGCCATATCTGTAGACTCCCAATCCATAAACGCCTCAGTAATCTCCTTTGTAACCCCAGCCTCTGGATTAACCACATACTTTGATGGACACACCGTTGTGCCATCGAAATGACCAAACAACTTATACCCCCTCAAAACAGACTGAAATTGAAATGCCCATTTGGCAAAATTATCATCTCTTAGTTTGATAGTAAGCATACCCAAGATTCCATCGACTTTAAAATTTGGACTACCCATGATTATCTTCAAGCAACAACAACTAATTACCAATTGAGATTATGCACAGAGACTGACACTCTGAGAAGAAAGACTAACACTTTCTTGAACTCACAACTTCTTGACTTAGAAGGAATGACACCTTCTTGAATGCATGAAAGAATGACACTTCCAGCAAAAACAATGCGTTCTAATTATCGCAGCAAATCAACATATACAAATCAACAAAAGAACCCAACTCTATCAAATCATTACTCTGCTTAAACTGAAAAAACGAAAGAACCATAAACCACCTGAACCGAAATCGAAAAGAAAACCAATCTTGCTCCAATCGCACACCAATGAAGCAACGAACATCCACCAAACCGAACCCCCAATGAAGCGACGAACAGCAGCGGAGCACACCAGGATCACAATCGGTGACTAACGCACACCGGCGATGATACCATATTAACAAAGAGGAAGAAAGAAATAGCTTGTAAAAACTGGAAGAAGAAAGAAGCTACAGAGAATGATGAACTTTTCAATATATGTTTTGGAAGATGAAAAGATCCCTCCAAATGCCTTACACATTTCGTTTATGTAGAGAAAACTAACCATTACAAAAGTACAATACTACCCTTCTCATATTCTTTATCTTTCTAACAACCCAATACTACTTAACAACCTTACAACTGTCTAACCAACAGTTACAACTGTATAACCAACTAACCAACTACTATGGTTATTATAAGCTACCTGTGTCCTTTACAAGATGCCCTTGTTCATTCAAGCATTTTTTCACAAAGCATACACCACCATGCCCACCTTCAGATTCTACTTCTTTTATCTGGTAAACCTAAGATTCTACCCCCAATTTTTCGAAGTTACCATACTTTTCTCACTTTCCCATATTCTTTTTGGATACCAATGGTGAAACTTGTTTATGTTTCAGCTATATACAGAATCATAACTGACAATAGATGGTTGATGAACCAAATTTTCGTGCCTAGTGCCCTCCGATTTTATTTTGATTCAAACTTTGTCACACGTTCTATTGGGAAACACTAAGCAGAAATTAGACAATATATAAACTACTTTTGAGTACTTCCTTGATATTCCTCAATTTTTATTGTTAATTAAATGCATGTAACTGATTTTATTTAGTATGAGACATTTAAATATAATACATACCATATAAACCACGACCTAGTGGTCCTTAACTTCCTTTAATACACGCTTTTTTGTTTTTAAAAAAGGGGAACAACTGCTGCCAAGCTACGGTTATCCACCATTTCCGGTGGTCAGGAAGACTCATGCTTTTTTAATATACGCTAATGTCCTCCAATTGTTTTGATTATTATTATTATTATTATTATTTGCAACCCATTCTATTTGCTCATTTTTCTCTCTCTATATTTTTTGGTTTGGGATGACAATTCTACCCATTAAACTCGATAACCGTGGATAACCGTCCGAATGAATTGGATTTGGGTATGAAAATTTGGGTATGGGGAAAAACCGTGATTATTATTCGGTTATGGTTTTGGATATGGTTATAGGGGTCCCCAAACCGTATCCATCCCAAATCCGAACCAAATAATATATATTATATATAATACTAAAGTATTAAAAAATAAATATATATATATATTTATTTATTTATTTATTATTCACCGAATCCATTACCTTGAGAATATAAAAATTGCATTGCGTGAGGTGCATTTTGTAGAAAAGTTCAAAAGTTTTAATATGAATCCAAATCTATGAGAATTCAATGACACTTATGGGAGATATCAAAGATCAAACCAACATTATCAATGTTTAGCTTTAATTTTTATGCTTCACAACATCCATTCATTAAATCAATTTATACATCAAATATTTAATGATAAAATTAATATTTACTAAATTATCATGCATCAATTGAATGAATATATTTTTTTATTGACAAAGATGAATATAACCGTTAACCGATGGAGAATCCGTTACCCAGTGAGTATGGTTATGGATAATACCCGATGATTAATTTGCGGTTATGAATATAATTAGTTTTCGTGGTTATGCGGATGGATATAGTATTTCCGTCCCCAAATTTGAACCGTTGCCATCTCTATTTTTGGGACATTTAGATCTGGATCCAAAAAATCAATTAGGTTAAGTCCATTATTATCTTTTCTCTATTTTTATTTTTTTTATACTCATATTATATTTTGTAAAAATATTAGAGATTAATTAAAATCTTCTAATTTCAATAAATCTGCTTAATATCTTTTAACAAAAAAACTAATATAGTAATACAAATCCATCCACAGAACATACGACCATAGCTCCAATAACAAATATACGAATGTATATTATACATATAACAGAGATATGAAACCTTACTAAAATGTACAAAAACATAGTATACTTACGAGCAAGACAAATTAATATGTGATTGGTTGATTATAAAAAAGAATTGTCATATAGGTAGATGAATACAATTAACTTATGGTATAAGTTGATTATAAAATTTTAGAGTAGTAGGAAAAACAAAAATAACATGAAAAAAAGAAGAAGAATAATTAAAGAGATAATTAGAAAAAAATTTAATTTGTCTAATAAATTTTAATCATTAAAGAGATAATTATTGACGATAAAATAAGGAAAACTAATGAAAAATACTTGAAAACTTTGAGTTTTAATGATAAGGACAAAATAAATGATAAAATGAATAGTACCAGGATTGTCTTTTTAGGGTAAAAATGTGATTTTTCGTTAAAATAATAATACCGGGAGCTTTTTGTTAAAGTTCCCAATAAAATAAGGCCTAAACTTAAAGAATTAGACTTATTTTAATAAATTAGAGTATTCTTAATATTGGGTTAAAAACTTGTAAATTATAGAGTAATGCTATTCATACCATGTTTTTATACCACATTTCTATATCACTTTAGGTGGCATTTGATGTGAATAGCCACATCATTTGAAAAATTTGCAAAACCCAAGGAAAAGAAAGAGAAAGACTTCTCGTATACCATAATCATCATTTAATTAACTAGTTTTTCTTAATTATTAGTTTATTAAATAATGAACTAAATTTAAAAATCTGATTAATTCAAATGATGTGACTATCCACATCAAATGCCACCTTGTATAATAAAAATATGGTACAAAAATATGATATTTACTGTAACTTGTATCAACTTTCCTAATCCAAAAAAGTGAGAGAAACTAACGTGAACCACCTGACCGTTAAGTTATCCGGCGCCAAATATTCGTTGGTTCCCTCTCGTCAAAAAATCCAAAGAAGCCATTTTTTAAAATTTTGGAGACACTCCGAAGCTATATAATCTCATTCGAGCTGTAAGTCCCCACGCTACCCCTCCCACTTCAATCTTAACTCTTCCTCCTTCCTTTAACTTTTTCCCAATGGAGAGTAGCTTCTCTTCTCCCCGAAACGATACTTTTCCTGCTGGCCTCCGGGTCCTCGTCGTCGACGACGATCCCACTTGGCTTAAGATCTTAGAAAAGATGCTCAAGAAGTGCTCCTACGAAGGTTATTTCACGCTATCTCAGTTTTCTCACTGTTCCTCTGTTTCGATCACTCTTTAAAGTTCCAACTTTGTTGTTTTTTTCTTCTCTATTTTCTGGAAATTTATAGTTTTCCTGAATGTTTTGGTGTTTTTGGAGATGGATTTTTTGAGTTGTGGGTTAATTTTGGTGGTTCTTACTTATTAGTGGAATTTTGATCATATTTGGTAATTTAACCACTGTGTTTGTTGTAAGCAAGGATTTTTAATCTTCCCAGAAGCAGCAGTTTAGTTATCGATTTTTTGATTTAAGTAAACGGATAAGCAGAATGATCAGGGTTTACTTGAGATAGAGTATTTGATTGTCTTTACAGGCTGCTATGCAGGAGGATAATGATAATGTGTTTCCGTTAATTAGTTAGTTTAATCAAATGGCAAATACTTTATTCTGTATCGAATATAAACACGTAAAGGTGTTTGATTTCAGATAACTGGAGTATTCTTTGGTGCCTCTGGTAGTGTACTTATAGAATTATTTCCTTTTCTTTTTGATGTTTGTTTCAACTACACTAATCAAAGACCATTTTTAGTCTATTTATGATCCTTGCTCAATAAATTTTCGTGGTACTTCATATGGGGAACTGAAGTAGTTACTTTGGTTATGTTGGGGGATATTCTCATGTATGATTACTTGTATATGATCTAAACAAGTATAGAAGTCTTCCATTATTCATATAGAAAAGGAAATCCGTTTGTCTTACAGGATTTTATTTTTGTCCGACTGTCAGACACGATGCTTTGGCCAGTCTGATAATATAATCAGCTGTCGAATGATAACAGCATCCATTAATTTTCATTATTTCTGAAGTTTTTTCCCTCCCTTTTTTGTCTGTGTTTCAGTGACTACATGTGGTTTGGCAAGAGATGCTTTGCACTTGCTTCGCCAAAAGAAAGATGGATATGACATTGTTATCAGTGATGTGAACATGCCTGACATGGATGGTTTTAGACTTCTTGAGCATGTAGGACTTGAGATGGATCTTCCAGTTATTAGTCAGTACTCTGCCGTTGACCAATAAAGCTTTGTCTTCAAAAGAAAAACGTCTGTCACCACTTAATTCTGACATATCATATCCGTTTTACCTGTGCAGTGATGTCTGTTGATGGAGAAGCGAGTAGGGTTATGAAAGGAGTTCAACATGGAGCATGTGATTATCTTCTTAAGCCGATAAGAATGAAAGAACTGCGCAATATATGGCAGCATGTCTTTAGAAAGAAGATACATTAAGTCGTTGAGATTTTACTCTTTGAAGTTTTTTGTTTTGAGAGCATTTTTTATCCAAATATTTTTGTTTAAGCTTGGTGACACCAAAAACAATATTCACCATTTGTGTTCTCTTTATATCAATCTAATAATAACCCAAACAATCTTATAGGAAAGCAATAAATATAATATTTATTTATCTGCGCTACAAGTTTACAGTTTCATATTTTTTTCAACTTATTTAACTGACGAGTTTGATACATAAAACTAACTGATTATGTGAGTTGAGCTAAGTCTCAGACAACTTAGAGTATAATATCATCATATAACAGAATTAGTATAAATATACGTCACAAGGAGCAACATTTTAGTATCCAGCTCAATATAATTACATTTTTTGCAAAAAAAAATTAGTATAAATATACGAGTTTTTTTTAAAGTATTTTTCAAAAGACTAAAGGCGTTTTTGGTTAAAATAGTTTTGGAATAAATCCGTAATAATACAAGTGAATTTTGAAAAAACAATTGAAGTGTTTTCTGCAAAAAAAACTCATGACTGATGCTTAAAGTACTTCAAGTGCTTTTAGAATCCAACATTTTTATTAAAAGTGTTTTTAATCATTTTAAAAACATTTTCAAACGAACCATATATATGTATGACTCAATATGATATCCATTCCAATTAAATAGACAATGGGTACTGACTACTGAGTGATGCTGGACTAACAAATCATATCCACTTTGAGCCTTATTTTTAAGTTTAACTAGATTGACGAGAATAATGTAGTTTCCTTCTTTATTTAGTTCGAACTCTTTTCGAAATTTTAGAAAAAATTTGGTATAGAAATATTTGTATGCAAATTTATGTGTGTGTTATTATGGTGGGTTTTTATTTGTGTGTGTGAGAGTGGTTCATCTCATCTGCAATCATCTGATGCCACTAGATCAAGGGTCCACATTTGGAGGCTTATCCATGTACTGAAACATATCAGGTGGAGAAACCCATTTGGAAAAGCAATATAAAACTTGGCATTATTAAAGTATTATTGTGAATATATACAAATAAATTCCTTAAAACTTGGTCAATTAATCTCTAGAATTAGGGTCCACTATCCATCATTAGAAAACTAAAAAGAAAGGGGGTCGAATCATATTTTATTCTTGTGGGTTTTTTATACTTAAATTATTATTGTTGGTTTGTCGTTTTATATTATAGTGCAATTGTTATTTGTAAGGAAAATGTCTTATATTCGATATAATGAGTTTAGTATAATGTACTGATATTCTTAGTCATTTGTAAATTATACGTGAATATCTTAAATTTGAATACGGCAAATTTGGTCCTAAACTGTATGACATAGTCATTGTGTACTTTAGTTTAAGTCTTCACACGAAACATAATATAATAAAATAATTGCATTGGTTTTCCCCCTATTGTAATATATTCATTTTAAAGCAAATTATTATGGCATATGGGTTTTAATGATCCATGACTCTTTCTTTCTCATTTTTTGCCAAGTGAAACCTTTTGTCTAACAGAAACAAAAAGAAAGAAAAAAGGGAAAAAGAAAGAAAAGAAGTTATGGAAAATCCAAGTGGAACATCTCTTTAGAAGGAAATATTTTTTAATATACCGAGAACACGACTCGATACACTATATGTCAAAAGAAAATTAATTAGATACTTGAAAAAATCACGTGTATTATAATCTTTACTACTACATAGCTTTTAATGTTACGATAATTGTGTCGTTGAGATTTTACTCGTTACATTTAACGGTGCGGATACAAATTTTGGGAGAAAATGAAGACGCCTGCTAACTGTTTCGTACCCAAGACAAACCCTAGGAGGGATAAAATTCATCTGTATAAGAACATAGGTGATAATATTAGCAGCGGACAAAAAACCACTTGAATTCCATTATTTGATTCGAATTTCAACTAAGAAAGTATAATCTTAAACTGTCTTCCAAAAAAAAAAATAAACAGTATAATCTTAAACCAATTGAACCAAACCACAATCAATTAATTTGGTTTCATTTGACCTTTTAATAAACCGTCCAATATTTAATTTACGACAACTTTTTTTTTTAACAAACAATATTAAAAAAAGAGGATGTACTTAACCTCACAATGGACTAGCAATAATGTGGTTCAAATTCACCTGTAGTAAGAATCGAACCTAAGATCTCTTACTTACAAATGAAAAGAAATACTACTATACCGTAGTACTAAGTGGCAATTTACGATAACTTCCACACATGTAAGAAAATTTAGTTGCGTTGTGCCAGTTTAATTCTTGAACTACACCAAACCAAATTGTGATGCTAACGTTGATTCAGTTGTGATTTGAGGCATAAACTTAATCGAACTCAACTCAACTCAACCATGCTCACTCTAAATACATGTACATATTTACATAACGTATTACAACTAAATATGCAATGAAGTTTATCGACGATATTTTAACAATCATATCAACCGCATATTGATAACTATTAAGTCAACGCATCAAGGCAACATTATCAAAACTTCGTGTTACATAAAAATATCGCGGTTAATTGTAAGGTAGAAAAATATGTTAACTACCCATAAATATGATATATTTAGTATGAAGCTCACCCTACGTGAGAGATGTAATTAACAATTTGTCGAAGCTTATATAATCATAATAACAGGCTCTTTAAGGAAATGGATCTTCATTTTTCAAAAAAAAAAAGGGACATCCTTTAGACCGTTAGATCTGGCTTTAATGAAATTATGTGGTTGAGATTAAATCACAGGCCACAGAATCTCAACAATATAATTTCATTAAAGTTAGATCTAACGGTCAAGAGAGTGTCTTTTTTTTTTTTATTTAAATGAGGATCCATTCCCTTAAAGGCTTCCATCATAATAGTAAACAATTAAAAACGTAACCGGAAACCTGGACGATTATGAATAGACAACGATTGTCTGTCCTTCCACTTCTCGTGCCCTTCTGTTTGTGTGGTCACGGTTAAGCCACATCAACATTTTATATTACTATTCATTTTTATCTTATTATTTTTATAAAAAAATAATATAAAATGTTAACGTAACTTAACCGTGATCACACAAAACAGAAGAGCAAGGACATAAGGAGTAAGAGGACAGACAATTCTTGTCCATTGTGAAAAGCATCTTTAGTGAAAGAAAAGGAAGCAAGATTAAATATCCTCTTTTGCTTTTAAAATTGGCTTTTGCTTTTGCTTTTGCTTACAGCGAAATATCTTTTCCTTTCTGATATGCCCTTTGGACCAACTTGTTTCCAGCTTTTCTCAACTTCGAAAAAGTATGAAGATGATGCCTTCATGCCTTCCTTTTCTGTATTGGATGCATACAATCCATCCTCTATTCCTCTGGTCCACCATCTCTATAATCATCAATAACTAGCCTTTAGCGCGTGCATGTGATATTTTTTAAATTACGACATGCTATGTGCGATTTATATATTTTAAATGTATTTATATACGTAAATTTAATAAAAAAAAAATTAAATATTTTAAGTAAATGAATAATTTTAGATCATACTAAAAGAAACCTCTTATAAACCAATTAAACCAGTTGAATTCATATAATAAAATTGGTCTCTATAAATTTTATAATAAGAAAAGAGAAAAAAAAATATTTAATGAATAATTGATTGAATTACATTATTAGTAACCCACCCCCCTTTCCCCTTAATATAGATACTAATATTTTGTTAAAAAAAATAATCATTTGACAACTAATTTAATCACATTATTATCAGCATGTGAAAGTGTCACAGCCCTTTCCGGAATTTTCATATTCGTGGATATGAAATGACGGAATTGCCCTTAACGGTTGCTAAGGTACGTGTGACACATAAGTTGATTATTGTATACTTTCCTAAGTTTTTTTTGGAAAAAAAAAAATCAAGTTGGATTAAGAGTTGTTTACAATTTGTGTGGTTAGGGAATTAAAGTATGGTTGTTTTGGGTGGACCACACACACACGGGACATACCCTCACCACGTGCCCTCTCTCTCCTCCCTCACAGTTCACTCTCTCTTCCTCCCTTCGAATTGTACGGACAAGGCACCAAACCCTCAAATCTTCACGGATCGACGCCAAAAAGGTGAGTTTCTTCATCCTTGCAACCTCTTGAGTTGAGGTACCATTTTTAGAACTGGAAACCTTCGAAATCACGTCAAACCTGTAACCCATTTTGAAATCATTGTTCATGCACACGTGAAATGTGGATTTTCAGGGAATTCTAAGCTTACAGGGAACTTAGTGAGGTCCCAAGGAAGCTCGGAGCTTAGTTTGAAGGTTTTGGACGTCGGGATCGTAGGGTTCGATGTTGTATTGATGATGTGAATTGTGTTGAGAGCTCATAACATGCACCCTGGTATTAGTGCTTATATTGTTCACCCCGCACCACACGCTCACTTTGGATTCAAATAGGTGCATGTCGTATAGACCATTAGAGGGTTCCGACATGTCGTACAGACCATTAGAGGTGGTTCCGACTTGTAGGTGATTTTAGATTATTATACAGCTATTGATGAGAGAAGCACTAGAGCGTATTCCTACACCTTTCTTATCGTACAGACTACTTCAGGTAGTTCCGATTTATGTGCACAGTAGCGCCGTACAGGTCACTGTGGTGACTCCGGTTGGTTGGATATTGAGCTATAGAATTAACCGTACAAGATAGTTGCAGGGTTTCCGGTTGATTCATTATTTCACTTGTTATATTGACGCATTCTTATTATGTTGTTGACGTTTATAGCATAGCATACTTTCTGGTTTTTGATAAAGATTGGTGATTTGAGATATTTGAAGAATTATATGCATATTATGTTATTTTATGGGAAAGTATACAGGTTTTACAGCGAGGGGTTAGAAATGTTATAAAATGAAATGTTTTCGAAAAGCTTGTTTTACTGACCCACTCAATCTTGTCTTGCACCCCTCCAGGTTCTAGTTAGCTGTGTTGGTGGCTCACGAGGATTTTCCCACGGCGTTCTGACAGACTACTTAAATGTAGGACTCACCTTCGAGTGTTGTAATTTGGTAATGGTCCTACTTGACTGCACTTAGTACTTATGCTCTGAATATGTGTGTTTCACACTTAAACTCACTCTAGCATGTTAGTTGTATATTATTGCTAGTAGTTGGTTTTTATT